TACTTTTTCCTAAAGGAATAGAAGTCAGATTTCATTGGAGGAACTGTAATGTTGACAGAGAAATATTCAAATACAAGAGTTTCCATTCTTCTGTTCAAGAAGGGATATAATCCGAGGCATTTTAGGTCAGAGTCATTCTAAAAAACTTTGCATTACTTTAAGGAATCTGGATGATATGCTTAACTGCCGGCAGAATTAACTTCAATAAAATAAATGAATCAGTTCTTTGAGTTCGTTCTTAAATCTTATTTTGACAAAAATAAATAAAATAAAGGAATCGATAGTGAAGGACTTGATGCACATTCTTTTTTTCATGTCTGTTTGAATTGAATCTTAAAGTAGAGTGAAAGGAACCGTGATTTAAGTTTGTATATTTGCCTAACTTCAAAGGATTTTGGCCTATGAATTTCACTTATCATGCCAATCGTATTAAGATCTGCCTTTTTCTCCGTATTACCAAAAATTCTTGAATATCTTTAACAAAGTTTTCAATTCTTTCTTGACGCAGGGAGTTCCAATACTCAGAAATGTAGTGATTACAAAATCCAAATCCAACTTTTACTAGAAATTCCTAATTGTTGCAAAAAATATCAAGTGTATTTTACGTATATTTGCTGCCTCATATTTGTAATGTGGGTTTGTTTGTTCTTGCAATTTTACAGTTACCAATATGCAGGTTATATTAATAAAATGGAACAAAGACTTAGTATTAGTGAAATTATACCACTAACTACAGAATGGACTTGCAAAGTCCAGGTTGTAGACAAATTTCGGCCACGAGACAGTAGAGATCAGCGAGTTCATTTTCAGACAATAATTGTCCAGGATGTAAACGTAAGTCAAGTTATAACTATAGTTGTAATATAACTTCTTTTCAGTTGTACTCTTCCAATAATTACTTAGTCATCATTCTTAATAACATTGTAGGAGGAACAAGTTTGTGTGATACTTTATGGTGACGATATTAGAAGATGTGATAACTTGTTCGAACTTTTTGAAACATATCTAATTTCAACTGCCAAGGTTAGAAATCCGCAACCTCATTCACTACATATAGGCCAATTTGAGTGGATCGTTGACAGATTTACTATTGTGGAGTCTATCCAAAAAAATAATGAAAATGAGGCACCGTTACCTCTTCCGTCAAGACTGAGTACGATTTCGTTCGCCGACGTTGCACAACAGCCTTCCGGTGTTGAAGTTGGTATGTTTCAAATTACCCTATGCCTTATAATAGCTTAATTGCTTGAAACTCATGCAAGTATATTGGTTTTACGTACATTTGTTTTTTGTTTATAACAACAGATCTATTAGCTGTGGTGGCTAACTGTGGGGCAATGCAATACACCGCTGATCAGAGTAAGAGATTTCGAGAGGCCATAGTTATAGACAAAATGTGAGTCATTTAATCTTCTGTTACATAACGAAATCTCTAACTCACACTTATAAAAGTACATGTACAGGAAGAAACCTCTCTTCGTCACTACATGGGAAGACTTGGCAAGCAATGAAGGAGCTGAGTTACTGAGACAAGTGAGGCAACTACAAGAATATCCTATTATTCTCGCGAAGCGGATAGGTACCACAAAATATCAGGGTGGTAAGTTCATGCAACTCTTGTTCCTACATATGGATTATTGTTTTGCATTGGTTATTAACAAAATTTTCATGCACAGTTACCGTTTCGCAACAAGATACAACTCAACAATCTTTATCAATCCCCTATATGTGCAAGCAACTGAATTACGGAATTGGTACAATATAAATTGTACTTAAAATGTACCACATTATTATTTAGCTGTTATTTCTTCTGTGAAAAAATAATTGTCTGACATTTCCTGTGCGAATTACAGGATAAATGAGAGCAAACAAATGCTAATCGAATACACAATGAAGAGTTCAGCAGAGTCAGCTTCACCGCTTAATCTTGTAGCTGTTGACGATGAAATATTATCTGTTTCAGCTATTACTACGCAAAGCTCCACTGTGAGTTCACTAAATTACAAAATAAAATGTCGAGAACTGCCACACAATGTATCTTTTATACAATATGGATAACAGTTCAATAAATTTTATTATGAGGATTCGTATATAAAAATTATTTTTAGTGTTCTTTGTTCTTACGATTCTGTGTTTTGAAGATTTTTGGGTATTTGCATCAAAGCAGTGTGCTTCAATTTTTTTTTGGCACAATCTTTTCAACTTTAGTGGTAATGCACCGCATTCAACAAACCTCTAAATCTAAGTTTTATATAATGAAGCTCTAGAATGCAGTCATTTTCAAGAATGATTGGGAAAATTGGCTTATTGTGATGAACACTTTTGTTAGTTATTGCACATTCATGCACGTTAACATAATAGCAAATCTAATAGGGTCAGGAGAAGAGTTGGCTTTCATTAAAAGAATTATATTTTGTTGTTTCTGGTATTCCACAGGTGCCTTATTATCTTCTGATCTTCTTATTGACCTATTTTTCCCAAATAGTTTACATCATCATCGATTACGTTTTTCCTATCTTCCCTTTTATGGACTGCTTGGTCCGTAAAGTAACAAAGATTTAGCTATATACATGATCAATTTAGTCATTAGTGNAAAGTTAATTCCTGAGTTAGCAGTTGAAAAGTCTACGAAAGAAAATGAGAAGGAATGAAGTTTCTTCTTTTCACTCTCTTGAGGCAACTAATAGTGTAGCTGTGGCAGAGATTCTTTTTCATGTTTTCAATAATTTGCTCTAATCAACTTAAAACTATTTAAAATTTGAAAATAATTTGTATTTCTTCCAATGGTGTAAAAGCTTTAATACGTTTAGCAATTTGACTATTTTTTGTATAAGTTACCAATAAATAAGAAGCTTCGTCTATCATACAAGTCACTTGCTTATAAATGAACTCTTTCCCAATGGCACTCTTTAGATATAAGAAGTATATGGTTGAGTTAGATAAATTTGTGACGCTATTATACATTATCTTTGATAGATATGATCTGACTTTCTCAATTGCTCACACTCTAATCTAAAGTGTTGGGCCCGGGCAAGCCCGGGCTGATCCCATCTAGTTAGAATTAGAAGTGCGAGTGTATCAGCTTACACAGACACGTCTTCGTCGACATGCCAGCTTAAGCTCTTATATTTTTGCCCCTGGTTTTCAATATTTTTACGTTCATTGCCACCAGAGAAATTTGTATATAATGGAAATTTTGGGGTATTTTCAAAGCTTATTTTACATCTTCCCCCGATATTAACAGCATTACATCTGCACATTTACCTCTACAGCCACCGCTTATTATTGGGGTTTCTTCTTCCTCTGTTTTTTTCAGATTTCTTTGTATCTTAAAGTGATTAATCTGCTCTGCTCTCCCAGTGTACATCCTCTTTGGTCCCACACCTCAATTGGTTAGTTTGTTGTTCTTGGATTTTATTTTATATTTCATTGTACATGTTATTTATTCGGAAAAATATTTACAATTGATACGATTTATGGGTGTTGCTCTGCATTCTTCTTTTTATATGCTTTACCTAATTTTTTACTTGGCAAATCTATATGTTTTACCTAATTTTGAGCTGTTAAATTGGAGTTTAAACCTAATTTCTTCGTCTTTTTTCCATTGCTAAGCCTGGAATTCAATTATTCTTTCCCTACTGTGCTTCTTCTCCAATCATTGTTTATCTGCTAACAAAATCTTCATCTTTTCCATTTTCTAAACACCCAGCGCTGCTTCATTTTTCAACCGTGGTTCCTTCTTCTGAAGCTCTTTTTTTTTATTAGTAAGCAGCTCCCTTATTTATTCACCGGTATGAACTCTTATTTTGGGGATATTTCCCTTTTCCACTGTTTGTCTTTCCTTTCTGCTTTATCTATTTTTAAAAGTTTCTGAGTTGTATTGTCCTTTGATTTATCTAAGGTTTCTCAAAAACTTTATTTGTTTGTATTGTCGACATCCCTGCTTGCCGACAGATAATATTTTGGGAATTTTCCAGTTTAAAATGTCAATTATGCCCTTCTAATATTGGATTTTTGTGCCTCCGAAAAGGATTCTATGGTAATTTGCACGTAAGCCGAAAAGGTCACCGCTTCAAGTTTGTGTTTATCCTTTCCTTTGCATTTCTTCTTCCATAGTTTTCTGTGGTTTGCCTTTGGATTTAGATAGCTTCTTCCGACTGATTTCTATACTTCTCAACCAAAAAATATAATTCAGCTTGGATTTGTTAATCTGAAGTTGCGTAGTCGAGGTTTCCAGTGATTTTTTACTTTTAGTCGTTGATTTCTCTGAAGAACAGAGTTTTAGTACTCAGACAATTACAGAATCTTTTGGGTGTTTTCTTCTCGGAAAATATTCAACTGCTTATATATCTTTATCCATTTCATTGTAAGTTCTTCAACTTCTTCGTGCTTGCATTTTCTGATCAAAGTTTGATTGTTCAACACCTCAGTGAGAAGTTGTTGTTTGAATTTAAACATTGTCAAAAGTTTCTTTGTTGGTACTGAAGCACGATGCTTTTTAATACCAACTGATCTACAAGCCTTTCTTGGTTTATACTTGCTACATATTTTAAAATGTTCATAGTTTGACTTTGAGATATAATTGATTTGTTCCATTATTTTGTCTCTTCAATTCTAGAATTTGCCTAGCTTTGCTGTTTCGTCGGATATAAAGTTGGTGCAATATAATATAATAGAGAGTGGAGGTGGGGAATGCTTTGATTTCCAGAAACATAATTTTCAGTTCTAGACAAGCAAATACAAAGAATTTCAAAGAAAAATTATTTTATATCATCTCAAATAGGACCATGTATTTTATGTTTTATAATCACATTTATTCTTGTATCACTGAGCATCCCACTATAGTGGTCCATTTGTCCTATGGAATGTTATTTGTATTAAAAATGTCCATCCAAAATGGATTAACGGATCTATGTTTTAGCTTTTGATGGCTGAAATTACTTTGGGATTAATTCCAGTTGCAAAAGTAGCAGCAAAAGATTATTTCTTTAGTATTGTGATTCCTCAGTTCAATTTTTGCAGTTTAATTGATTAAGATATTTAAGAAGAGTCAAATAAGCTAACCCATCAGGAAAAACTCGGCGACGTCCATTAACATATAAAATTGCTTCCTTTGACTCATCTCCTATCCTTTCCATTTACTCATGTCCATCAATGACCCCATTTTTTAAAGATTTGATTTTTTCCAGTAATGAAAAATTGTTTTGGCTTTGATGATTGAAGGAGACAAAAGAAAGAAAAATATAGTTTATATTACTAGAAAAAAGATTTGAAAAGAGTCATATGTTATATGTAAGTTACAGGATTTTATTTGGATTATAGTCGGTTGGTCCAGTAGATAGAAATGAGCTATCCAATTATGCTATATGATACTACAATTAATAAACACGGAGAATCGTGATGGGAGGATTATGAATTTTTACTCTCAAGTCTTAATTAAATATTACGAGTTCGAGTTGTAAATATGGTTTCTTCACTCTTAGTCAAACGTCCCAGGTTCAAGCGATGAGGAAAAAACAAATTTGCTCAGCTCTGGTTCTATTTAAGACATCCATATTTTAGCTTTTGATGCCTGCTACATTACTTTGTTTTACCACGTTTTATCCAAAGTTTTTATCTGTTTTGGTATGTTTTGTTTAGTACCACCATAACGAGTGCTGATATTCATTGGTTTGTAGTGCATATATTTTACTTCTAAGTTTTGATTTGGTATATGTGAAACTTATGTATACCAAAGATGTCAAATTTTAAAAAGGGATAAGGCAAAAATAGATTTGCTCAGCTCTGCTTCTATTTAAGACATTCATGTTTTAACTTTTGATGCCTGCTAAAAAGTTTTTATCTGTTTTGGTATGTTTTGTTTAATACCACCATAACGAGTTTGATATTCATTGGTTTGTAGTGCATATATTTTACTTCTAAGTTTTGATTTGATATATGTGAAACTTATGCAGGCCAAAGATGTCAAATTTTTAAAAACCCGTGGATTCAACATGTTGGAAACAAAAAGGGAAACATCAATACTCTGAAGAAAGAGGCATCTAAATTAAACAAAGACGTCGCGGAATGTATAGGGCGAGGTCAGCTGATAAAAGAGAACTAAATTTACTGGAGCGCCGAACGACATACCTTCGTTCTAGAATGTAGAATCCAGCCAGTGATTCCACTGAAGTATCAGCTTGCTACCAATTTAATAGAGAATTAGCGAGGCAACGTGCTGCTCTGACAGGAGCCTCATCTTCTACCTTGAGAACAGGTTTGTGCGCTAAGATTTTGTTACCCTTGAATAAACTATGTGATACACATATTTTGTATGCTCATAACTTGCTCTTATATTTTAGTAAATGTGTTCACAGTTAATGATTCTACTGTTTCTGATAATGGGAAAGATCTACATGATCGCTCTTCCGTTTTTGAAGTTGGTAAGTGCGAAAGTACAGTGTTCAAAGTTGTGCAATCTTTTAAGACCCAGATTTATATGATAATTTGTTTTCTCTTAGGGTCTACATCAGGAACGTGTAGTGAACAATATAATATTACCATGCATAATGCTACAAGCAAAGGTTCGTTTCCATCTAACTTTAATGTCATTTCAGTCATTTCTTTTTCAGGACTGGCCTTTTTTCATTCTGGTAAATCTAAAATATATAGGTCATACATCTAAAAAAATGTGTGTCTGGAACACCAATGACTTGCCCAATAGCCCTTATAGACTGAAAACTGTGCCGAATTGCAAATTTTGTAGAGCCAAAAGATTTCAATATGAATCACCGGGATTTTGTTGTGATAATGGATCAGTGAAATTGATTCACTATGGACTACCTGCTAAATTGCTAAATCTTTATTTAGGGAACTCTGAGGAGTCCAAACATTTTCGCACTTATGTTAGATTGTATAACAATATGTTTGCATTTACTTCTCTTGGAGTGAATTATGACAGAGATTTAGCAAGAAGAAATTGTGGTATTTATATGTTTAGAGTTCAAGGAAAAATGTATCATTTCATAAATGACCTTGTGCCTTCGAGTCAACCAGCAAAAAATCTACAGTTGTATTTCTATGATACTGATAATGAACTAGCAAATCAGATGGCATTCTCTGACAAGCTTAACGAATCAGTTATCGGGACTTTGATGGACGCATTAAAAGTTAATCCATACTCTATCTTTTTGAAATCTTTAACAGATATCCCAGAATTATCAAACTTCTACATTGCGCTTAAGTCCGACTCTGGTTTAGATCAAAGAACATATAACTTACCGACATCATCTGAAGTAGCAGCAATATGGATAGAAGATGAAAGTAGTTCCAGTATTTTTCTACCACATATTCGAATTTATACACATAATAGTAAAAGCCAATTGGTAAATTACTACTGTGGTTGTTACGATCCATTGTAGTATCCACTACTATTTCCTTATGGACAAAACGGATGGCATTGTGGTATTAAAAAGATTATTTGAATGAATAATACTATTAGCCATGAAACTTATTGTGAAAATGAACAGCTACCAAGTGTAGAAAACATTTGTTCAATCGACATGCTACTTGACATGGAAGCAGAACTTCTGGAAAAAAAGAAACAAAAAAGAAATACCGTGTCATGTCGTGAGTATTATTGTTACAAGCTCCAAATGAGGGACGATGAAGAAAATGGGGTTTTACATGCTGGAAGAGTATTCCAACAATACTCAGTTGACGAATTCATCAAGCTCGAGACTCAAAGGTTAGATTTCTATTCATTTAATCAAGATTTATTTAGAATTGATGCGTTAGCGGGGATTCTTGATGTTCTAAGACACGGAGAGAGAGAGCCATGCAATATTGGTAGACAAAGTTTTCTTCCTACAAGTTTTATAGGAGGTCCTAGGGATATGCGCCGACGATATATGGACGTTATTGCGTTAGTGCAAAATTTTGGGAAACCTGATATATTTTTGACAATGACATGTAATCCATCTTGGCCAGAAATAGAAGAACATTTATTGGTAACAGATGAGGTACAAAATAGGCCCGATTTAGTTAGTCGTGTGTTTAGAGCAAAGGTAGAGGAGATGAAAACAGATATTCTAAAGAGAAACATATTTGGAAAAGTTGCAGCTTCTATGTACACTATTGAATTTCAAAAGCGTGGTCTTCCACATGCTCATTTTCTTATCATACTCAAAGATGAATATAAATTGTTAACTCCGGAAGCTTATGATAGAGTTGTTTGTGCTGAAATACCCGATTCTGATAAGAATGATTACTTGTATTCAGTTGTTACTAAACATATGATGCACGAACCTTGTGGTAGTTTAAATCCTAAATGTCCTTGTATGAGGAACTGAGAAAACTGTAAGTTCAAATATCCAAAAGATTTTGCTGATCATACAACAAAGGGACAAAATGGATACCCAATTTACAAAAGGCGAAATAACGGTAAACGTGTAAATATTAGAGGACAATTTCTTGACAATTCGTGGGTAGTTCCTTACAATCCATATCTATTGAGCAAATTTAACTGTCATATTAATGTTGAAGTTTGTTCTGATATTAAAGTTGTCAAATACCTTTATAAATATATCTGCAAGGGACATGATAAAATTGCCTTTTTCGTACATGCTGATGATCCAAATATTAAAATAGATGAGATCAAAGAATATCAATCTGCTAGATGAGTATCTCCACCAGAGGAAACTTGACATTTATTTGGTTTTCCCATTAGCGAAATGACTCCATCCGTTTATCATCTTCAGCTACATCCTGAAGGACAACAATTTGTCTCTTTTAAAACCACACAGACCGTAAATGCAATTATAAATAATTCCATGATTAGGAAAACAATGTTGATGGAATTCCTTTTTGATGAACAGAGAAAACTAAGATGCCAAGAAACTAAATTTACTCTATAAAGAATTTTCAGAATATTTTGTATGGTCCAAACAATATAAAATGTGGACACATCGACAACAAGGCACTGTTATTGGACATATTGTGACATGTCATCCAACAAAGGGGAAAGATATTATCTTAGATTATTATTAATGAATATTAGAGGACCAAAATCATACCAACATTTGCTAACTGTCAATGGAATATGTTGTAGTACATTTCGAGAAGCCGCAGAAAAACAAGGATTATTACAATGTGATAATAACTTGGTTGACTGTATGTCAGAGGTTGTAATATATCAGATGCCTTATAGTCTAAGACGTTTATTTTCTACACTTTTGGTATATTGTAATCCTACTAACCCAAAAGAACTTTGGGACCGATTTGAAGATTCTATGTTTGAAGACTTTAAGATTTTGCCACATTTGAACGAGAAACAAATTCGTCGTATGGCTTTAGATCATATTAACAACATTTTGCATTCAATGGGTCGTGATATAAATGAATTGCACTTGTACCAGAAAGAATTTTAGCTTCATCTGCTGCCAAGGAGGCTCAAGATTCTCATTTTGAAAGAAATATAATTGTTAGAGAAGAAGATTTATTACTAGAAACAAAATTGAATAATGAACAACGAAAAACATATGATGTAATCCTTGATAGAATATTTAAGAATAAATCTGGAGCTTTTTTTATCGATGGTCCCGGAGGAACATGCAAAACCTTTTTGTATCGTGCATTATTGGCTGCTGTACGATCAAAAGGATTCGTAGCTTTAGCAACAGCAACCTCTAGTGTTGCAGCTTCAATTCTTCTCGGGGGACGGACTGTTCACTCCCGTTTTAAATTTCCTATTAATATTGATGAACAATTCTTCTGTAATATTAGTAAGCAGAGTTCGCTTGCATCATTGATACGAGATGCCAAACTAATTGTGTGGGATGAAGTATCAATGGCCAAAAAACAATTGATAAAAGCTTTTGATTTACTACTGAAAGATCTAATGGATACAAAGACACTCTTTGGTGGAAAAGTTGTCGTTTTTTGCGGTGATTTCAGACAAACTCTTCCAGTTGTTCGGAGCGGGAAAAAAGAGGATTTCATAAGAGAAAGTTTATTGTGTTCTGAAATTTGGAACCAATTTGAAAAATTGCGATTATAAGTAAATATGCGAGCGAGAACAGATCCTGCTTTTTGCGAATATTTGATGCGAATAAGGAGCGGAAAAGAAAAAACAAATTGCCAAGGTAAGATTGAAATTCCTGATTATTTCATTGTTCCTTTTATAAGCGAAAAAGAATCGTTGAATCTTTTATTTAGAATAATTTATCCAGATTTATATACATCTGCTTGTGATATGTCTTCTACAACTTCTCGTGTCATTTTGACAACAAAAAATGATTTCGTTGACGAAATAAATGATATGCTGATAACTCAATTTTTGGGTGAATCTAGGACATGTAGCGTTTGACGAAACTATTGAAACTACCGATCAAAGTCAATATGAAGATTTCTTGCATACTTTACATCCAGCTGGCTTGCCTCAGTATAAATTAACTGTGAAAAAGAATTGTCCTGTTATTTTACTGGGTAATTTAAATCCTTGTGAAGGTTTATGTAATGGTACACGACTTATATGCTGTAATTTCGAAAGACATGTGATAAGTGCTAAAATTGCAAGTGGTGACTTGAAAAAACACACATGTATTTATTCCCAGAATACCTTTGTTGTCTTCACAAGATGAAAAACTGCCTATTCCTTTCAAAAGAACACAATTTTCTATTAGATTATGTTTTGCTATGACGATAAATAAAGCTCAAGGTCAGATGTTAGATTTTGTTGGAATTTATTTACGAGAGTCTGTTTTTTCCCACGGTCAGCTTTATGTTACTTTATCGCGAGCAAAAAACTCAAGTTTTGTGAAATTATTGATCCGACCGCCAACCGCTAATAGCAACGAAGATCATACAACACACAATGTAGTATATGATGAAATCATTCAAGTGCCCCTCTTGTGAATTAACAGTAACACTATGAGCAATCACTTATTTGAGATTTGATGTACATCTGATTGATATCCTGCAAAAGATTGATCCTCATCACCTACAAATTGGATTGATATCACATAGATGTTAACTGAGATGTCTTTGCATCTTCAATCCTTGCTTCACTAAAGATCCTAAAAGTGGAATACTACTTGAATATTGCACTAACTATTCGGTAAGTAATTTTTTTCTTGAATATACATCTAATACTTGAAACCTTGCTTTGATTAATAATTTTGCGCATGCATCTATATGTTTACATGTTTGCCTGTTTTTGAACAGATTCCAATAGTATACCAAATAAAATTCTTCTTCTTCTTTAGCTGTTGGAAATATGATATCTCCTTATCTTCTCCAAAATGAATGAAAGAGCTTGGTTTAGTTTCTGCAATGGAGATCTAAAATGAATTCGTTTAATATCAGCTTACTGCATATAATATTCCACAAAACTACTTGATGATTCCAAGATAAGTTTCTCTTTCTTATAGTTTAATATGTTATTTGACGAAATTTTCTAAATTGTTTGAGTTCTTTAGAAAAGAATAATATCTTAATATTTTCATTTTACCTTCTCAGTTTCCCTTAACTGTATAATTTCTTTTGCTGAATACTTTTGTAGGTCCTGAAGACATATTTGAAAAAAGAACTATTATTTTTACAGCTTCTTGCCATTATTGGTTGCAATAGTTCTGCTAGCTTTAGGTTTGGGCAAGTGTAGACATAAAAGAACAGAGAGTTTAATACTAAAAAAGATAAAGCAGAATATACTATTTTGGTACTTGGCAACCACAACCAAATAATCAAATAGTATTCTTCTCTAATTGTTTAGTTTTCTTGACAACTTTATGGTCTAAATTTTCTACTTGTATAAACATATTGCAGGAAAATTGGCCCACAACCATAACAAAGATCATAACAGTTCATTGCTTGGTCTGCTTTCTACTTTGTCGCAATCATTTATAATTCTTGATCTGGGTACAGAGCCTCAAGAAGTCAGACGCTTAGCATGCCAAATAGTAAGTACTTCTGTGATAAATTCAAGGCTTTTTACTAGACTTAAAGTACGTGCATGCATAAATTAAATTTAAGATATTATATCTTATTATTTTCTCAGTTTCTACCCAATTGAAACCCTTTCTGTATGACAAATTATTTTTCCTGAAAAATATGGCTAACTATGTGTAGATCTAACTTTCATCTTTGCTGGCATCTATAATTGACTATGATGTTATGTTCTATCCATGATTTGCTATTCAGTTAGGTGACAACTACTTTGCTGCTATTAACAGCAATGAGATAATGCTCTGTGCATTCTAAGATCCAAAATCTATTTCAACAAGGAGACTGATCTTTTAACAAGGTTTAGATAGTTCGCCGCCTTAACAAATTGTTCCACATTTTTTGCGTAAATAGTTATAAGTAATATGTGCCTATGTTTGTGAAGGCAATTAGTATTAATTTTTGGATATTGGAGCGGCCTCCAAATATTTTGCAACAACATCTTATAATTAGAATGCATGTACATTTTCAAAAGTTTACAACGTTTACCATATGGTGTTTTCCTTTATACTACTGATGTCAACGCTTACTCTTTAATAAAAGAATTACACATGTATCATTTACATAATTTTAATTTTAGTTCAGTTATAAAAGAGTGTGGCAATGTTTAACAATTCATTGCCACTAAAATGTTGATAAATAAGATTTTTTTTCTTAGATGAAGTATTTATTATCGAACATCAGTAAATACTTTAAAGTTTATGTTATATAAACTACGTCATTGTGCGCGGGCTATAAATGGGCAACAGCCAGCTAGCCTACATTACAAGTGCAAATTAACAAGTGAGACAAGCGGTCATTTTTCCTTGGGATTTAGTTATCTCGGTTTGTTATTTGTATAATATTTGTGTGTTTGTTAAAGCTACATTTTCAGACGGAAGCTAAAGGCTAAAGAGCTTCACCGCATCTTATGATAACTTATGATGGAGTCAAGCTATGATGGAGTCAACGTAATGTCCAATAGATTGCATTTATCTCAGATTTGCTGAGAAAGTAAATTACTTTCTTAAATTATCTTACGACCAAGGTTTGCTAGCTATGATTATAATCATATTTATCTGTCTAATATAAATATTTGTTGAATTTCTTCACTATTCAGATGAAGAACAAGGTTTAGGTGGACTCATTTGGTCATTTTTGTGCAATATCTTTGCCAGCATTGGAATAAAATGGACCCGAATATATAGAGCAAACATAGATATAGAAGATTCATGTAGCTAAACCCAACTAGCTTAGGATTGAAGCATAGTTGATTGATATTCTGATTTTTTCTTGGAACACGACATGTTGGTTGATATTTTTATTTATCCTGGCATTTGGCATGTTGCTTAAATCTTTGAAGTAACAGTCTCACTGGGACCTTCATACTTTGCCTATTTCTAAACTTCCAGAAAAAATCAAGAGTTGCTGCTGAATTTACTTGGAACATCATGAATGTGAAAAAAGATCAAGATGTGAGGTTCAAAGTTGGATATGAAGTTGTTGAAAAGGTAAACTATTTTCCTAATCTGCAAGTAGCATATTGTCCATCCATCCTGAGCTTTTCTAGCTATCATTCATAAATGCATGGCATTTTCTTGTACCTTCACATCTCATAAATGATTATAATAAGATATTGTTTTATATAGTACTCCCTCCGTTCCAATTTATGTGAATCTGTTTGACTGGGCACGGAGTTTAAGAAAAAAATGAAGACTTTTGGATTTTGTGGTCCTAAACAAGTCCAAATGGGCCCCAGAGTATTTGTGTGATTATAAAAGCTTCTCATTAAGGGTAGAGTTGTAACTTTAAGCTAAATTGTTACCAAATTTAGAAAGGGTTCATTCTTTTTGGAACGGACCAAAAAGGAAATAGGTTCACATAAACTGGAACAGAGGGAGTACTTATTGTGAGCACGTGATTTTTGCCCTGTATGAGAATTACTCCCAAAAATTCAAAATAAAACAATTTTCTTTTGTGTGCAATTTTTGAATTTTATGGCATTTTTGGATAATTATTTGTATTTTTGTCTGTGCATGTTTATTTGTTTAAATTAATAAAAATATAAAAATATGTCGTGTTTGCATTTAATATTTAACTGAATTTGTTTTACAAAATGAAAAAATCATAAAAAATAATGTACGGTGCATTTTTAGCATTTAACGTCCAAATTATGTGATTTTATCGTTAATTGCTATTTAAATGTGCGATAATTGTTATTAGGAGTTAATTAGTATTTTTAGATAATTTTGGGTTTTTGTAATTTAATCTTAGCATTTTAGCTTTATTATTTAGGAAATTGAATAAATAGAAAAGAACAAAAATAGAAGAGATCGGATTGGGCCTTTTCTTCAATTTTAAATCACAGGCCCAAAGATACCCAACCTTCCCCTACGACCCGGTCCATTTCAAACCGGGTCGACCCAGTCCATAACCCAAAAGACCCAACACCCCTATCTCCCTATCTTTCATTTCACAAAAAACAAACCCAAAAACCTAAAGAACCTACCCGCCCCCCTCCCTCTTCTTCTTCTCCAAAACCAAACCCCTCCAAGCCCTAGCAGCCATGGCTGCCTCCTCATCGCCAACCACCTGAAGCAGTCGCCTCACCACCACCAGCCTCGTCATCGACCACCCTCGAGACTCCAACTCCAATAGCTGCTCGCTTTCGTCTACGTCAACACACACACGCAACCATGTCTGCTGTTTCTTCTTTTCCGTCAGTCGAGTTATGACCATCTCCAACGTCCGCCGATAACGAGCAGCAATGCTGCTGCGTTTCTGCTCGTCGAGCATCTGCTTCACGTCCAAACTACCATCGCTGCTTCTTCTTCTTCTTCTTCGTCATAGCCACTGCCACGTCGACCTCCAGCAAACCCAAACGCCTCACGTCCCATGGCTGCCCTTTTGCATCTGCTTCACATCCAAACAACCACAGCTGCTTCCTTCTTCAGTCGACCAGCCAAGTCAACCCCCCTCACGTCCGACAGCCCCACGACCACCATGACTGCTGCCTAGTCTGCGACCTCCAGCCATGAACGATGAACCACCACAACACACACACATACACATACACACAGTGGGGCGTCCAAACAACCTACTGTCTCGTCGTTCTTCAGGTTCCATCCGTCGAGGTCGTCATTTGTCGTTCTGAGTTCGTCGAGGTTAAAAGAGAAGGTGGGTTGTCATTGAAGTCAAGATCTGTTAGGGTGTTGGCAGTTTTGGTTCAAATTTTCCGTTTCCATTCGAGTTCGTCGTTGTTCCGATCCGGTTAGTTGGTTTAAGTTTCATTTCTGTCCGTATTTTGTTTGATATTCTCGGATATGAAATTAGTATATGTTTGATTCTTTTCTTGTTCGTTGTTTATCATTTCTTGATTATTTCTTCAGTTTGTTTTTATTCATTTGTTCTTGTTTAGTTTTTATATAGGAATGTGTTAGATTTAATTCGGGTTCATTTTTTTTGTTTGAAGTTTGTTAGTTTTTCATCAAGTGATTTAATGTGAGTGTTTATGTGTTGGTCTTTAGTTTTTGATTTAGTTTGAATCAATCATCTTTGTTATGATGTTGTTCGATTTAGTTTGAGTTCAACTGATATTGAGTCTAGTGATTTAAATCTACTTGTTTGTCCTGTTAAGTTTGTTGATATGAATCTGACTCTGTTAGTAATTCATGAATGTTGTTAATTTGGCAAGTTTATTAT